TTGAAGGCAATAGCTGCTTACATCATTTCTGTCTTAATAGGGTGGGGCAGACCGAGTGGTAAAAGGAAGCTTTACAGTAGTATAAACCAAGAACAAATCATAATAACTTAGTCCTTAAAATAGACAAACCAATTTGTTCAATACATAACAAATCCTTAATAAACATGCAAATGCATCCCATGAATAAGTTTTGACTTACTATGATTTGTACCAGGTTCAAACATAGACCGAAGGCAAACTGGAATAGTTTGGAGCAGGGGTTCCCAAACTATAGATTGCAATTCTTTTGGGGGATTGAAAATGGAGTTGAAAATTTTTAATGACTTGTACAGGCAGAGCCATATTTCTTGTTTATGAGCGGAATTGGAAGTTGCAGAGGTTGTAGGGTAGAGGTGCTGCAAAGCTAGGCCCAAAGGTAGTAGAAGCAGGGCCTTGGAGCAACGTCAGAGGATTTAGGGGCAGGACTGAGGATGGAAGGGTAGAAAGACCTTACAGAAGGGAGCTGTGTATTTGTCAGATGCCTCACCAAGCTACTATTTTCCTCTGGCCTTTGAGAATGTGTGAATGTGGATATTTGCAGATGAATACTTCCTGGATGGGGAAGTGTTTTGATACTTATCATCTGAGTGAAAATTATGATGTGATTTTTGTACAGTATGTATGTATATGTAGGTATGTTACCATTTGCTGATCTCTGAAACTCTCAGCAACATAAGAGGAAAACATTGGGACTTGATTAGTGTTTATAAAGGCATCAAAATGAGAATAAATCAAAATATTTAATTTCTGGTGTATCTTTTTGAGTAGCAATAAGTGGTGTAATGCTTATACTTGTTGAAGAAAAATGCATTTATATAATCCTAATTTGTGGTTTAGAAAAGTTAAGTGTTTTATTATAAGCAGTGGCAGTTTTTCAATTTGATATTTAATTTTTTATTTAATACTAGCTGTACCCAGCCACGTGTTGCTGTGGCTCAGTCTGGTAAAAGCGTGTGTTGCTTTTACGTCCAACAGATGGCGCTGTTTTTCAAAAAAAGCATGTTTTTACCTGTCACAGGTGTGTCATCTATATAATATAGGTATATAAAAACACGCGCTTATTCGAATGCAACGTTGTGTCAAAATTTGAAAGCAATCGGTGAAGAACTTTTGGAGATTTAAGATTTTGAACAAACGAACATTTACATTTTTATTTATATAGATTATTTATATAGATTATTTTTTTAACAATGGATACAATTATCATTTCCAGTTTTGCTGTGCCAAGATCTGCTCTTATGGCTTGTATTTGTTGAGTAAGGCATAAGTTAAAATGCTGATTTTTCATAATAAAGCTGTGTTGCTAAGGTCACATTTCAATATATCTCATGTTTGATTCATTGAATTTATTATCAGGAAAATGTGTAAAAATGAGAAGAAAGTCACCAAAAAAAGGCAGAACAAAAATCTTTTCCCAGTTGAAAATGTATTTAATATTTTGGTTTTGAAATAGTATAAACAGAAGTGAAAATTTAAAAAGAGCACATACTAAAACTAGTTATACCTTTTCTTCATAAAAATCAAGGTGTGTTAATTATAATCAGCTAATTTCAGTGAAAACTAACTTGCAACAGCTGCAAGCTATTCAATTGTTTGTTTGAATTGGAATTCTGAGAGATTAAAATGTTTGAAGCAGTAGGTAAACTCATTTGTGATAATGGAATTTTCATTACATTTGTGTGACAGATTTCATCAGTACAAAAATGACTGACTTGGCTGAAGTTGCCAATTAACTATTTTAGTTCCTGAAAACTTGCCTCCATCAAAAAGTATTGTAAACTCAGTGTAATACAGGTAGTCCCCAAGTTATGATACACAATTGAGCCCAAAATTTATGTTGCTAAGTGAAACATTTAAGTGACTGCCCCATTTTACAACTTTTCTCACCACAGTTATTAAGTGCATTGGAAACTCGAAGGTGTCATATATACAGGTAGTCCTCAATTTACAGTAATTCATTTAGTGACCGTTCAAAGTTACAGCACTGAAAAAGTGAAAGTTTCTCACACTTATGACCATTGTAACATCCCCCATGGTCACGTGATCAAAATTCAAATGCTTGGCAACTGGTTCATATTTATGATGGTTGCAGTTTAGAGTTTTATTTTATTTTCTGTCTTTTGCCCCTTTAATCTCAAGGGATAGAGACTACCATCTATCAATTGTACAGTACTTTAATCTTAAGACAATACCTTGTATTTTTAGATATTAAATCATTCCAGTGAGTAACCTCAATTTCTCCTTTTCTACATATTTCAAGAATATTTTATTTTTCAGTCTTAAATTTCTTACTGAACAATGACAAATTTTAATTTGTCAACAGTATATATGGAATAGCTTCACTTCTTACATGTATTAGTTTTAGATTTTTATTTTTCTGAGTTTCAAAATAAATTCTCCATAGAAAAGTAATTTATGTATCTTTATTTTCTTTAATTAACAGGTATTTTATACTGGACTTTGAGACTGGAATTCTACAGTACTTTGTAAATGAGCAGAGTAAAAACCAGAAGCCTCGAGGAATCTTATCTTTAGCTGGGGCTATAGTTTCTCTCAGTGATGAAGCGCCAAACATGTTGGTGGTCTATTCTGCTAATGGAGAAATGTATAAACTGAGAGGTATAGTATTCTTTAGGGTGTAGTTCCCTTAATAAAATATGATCTTCAAATTATGTTAATTGTGGTAAACACTTTAGCTAATTTGTATAAAATTAAAGTAAGGCTCTGCATTTCCCCTATTAATGTTCATATGCAAATTAGTACATTGGCATGAGATTTATATTTGTATTGTAAGAAAATTTATTTAGAATTAAATCTTTCAAGATTGAAAAAGGTATTGAAAGTTTGTTGATTTAATTAAGTGCAAATTAGTCAACTATGAGAATATTTTATAGAATTCCCTGAATTGTACATTTCATATTGTGGGGCATGTTTGTTTACAGAAAGATAGACTTCTTGATCTATCAATATGTATTTAAATTGTAAGAAAGTATTGTGATATATTGGGATTAATTTATATACCTTAGTTTTAAAAGCAAGATAGACAAATCAATTTTCACTCCTCAGAATATCTTAATTTTAGCATGGGCATTTAAGAACAGAAAGTTTTCAAAGCAACAAATTGTTTTTAATATGCTTTAATATGTTACAGTTTATTTTGTGTGTGCTTATTTCTAGCTGGTGATACAAAGGAGAGACAGTACTGGGTAACTCAACTTCGATCTTGTGCCAAGTACCACACAGAAAATAATGTGAAGGTAAAAATTACTGGATGAGAAATAACTTAGTTCCATGACGTTAGGGGAAGTGAAGTAATAATAAAACCCAATCAAATAGTTAAATTTCCAGGGTTTCAATATTAATGTTTCACTTCCACAGAATAAAAATGCTGTAATGCTCCCTGTATACTCTCTTGTAATCCCTGTATCATTGTAGACATAATTGTACATAAATTAATTAAATAAGGTTGCTAGAAGTCAAAGAGCTTAATGGAGGCTTAATAATAATAATAATAATAATAATAATAATAATAATAATAATAATAATAATAATAATAAAAAATTGGAAGGGACCTTGGAGGTCATCGAGTCCAACCCCCTGTTCAGGCAGGAAACCCTACACCATTTCGGACAAATAGCTGTCCAGTCTCTTCTTAAAAACTTCCAGTGTTGGAGCATTCACTGCTTCTGGAGGCAGGTTGTTCCACTGGTTAATTGTTCTAACTGTCAGGAAGTTTCTCCTTAGTTCTAGATTGCATCTCTCCTTGATTAGTTTCTATCCATTGCTTCTTGTCCTGCCTTCAGGAGCTTTGGAGAATAGCTTGACTCCCTCTTTTTTGTGGCAGCCCCTGAGATATTGGAACACTGCTATCATGTCCCCCCTTCTTCTCTTCATGGTACTGGCGGACGTACTGGCGCACGTCCGCACGTGGCGGACGTGCGGTTTTCTGCCGGGGGACCCTGAAAAGTGTCGAAAATTGCCCTGGAGGGGCGACGAGCGTGAAGAGGACCTCCCGTTTGATCCGGGGCAGCCCTCCCGTTTGATCCGGGGCAGCTCTTCGAACTGATGGGGAAAAGATCGGCCATTAACATGGCCCATCACTAAGCTGCTACCAGCCGAAGCCAAATTACCACAAGCACTTCGAAAGCACCGCAGAGGAACTGGGTGAGATCTTACCTTCTTTGTACCCCAAGTATTTTCCTGTAAAAAGCTTCTTGAAATTTCTTCCCCCTGTGAGGAGAGAGGGAAGGGAACATCTTCTTCCCACCCTCTAAAATGGCAGCGTCTGACTACCTAGGGGAAATAAAGCCTTGAAAAGAACAACTAAATAATTGGATTTGCATTTTCTTGATATTTGGGAACCCAAAAAGTTCCTACTTTCACGGGGACCTGCTACCTTATCTACTCATAAAAAAGATGAAAAAGAACTTAAATTGGATAAAAACCTAGCCCGGGTTTTGAAAAAGACTTTAAATGCTATCGGGGACATCTTGTGGTGAAGCTTGTACAGCAAGTGAATATTCTTGACAAAGACACCTGCTCAAAGCTCAGATCTGCCTTGGTATTATCTAAAAGAGATAAAAAGCTGAGAGAACAGCTGGGCGGTGAAATTGGTTTTTAGGAACTGTGGAGGTGAATACTTACTGACTCTTGTTTAATAAATAGCCTTCACTAAAGGACCATACATAACTATGTCAGAAATGGAGGAAGACCAGCAACAAATTTCAGCTAATTATAAACTTATACTTGAAAAAATTCTTGAAGCTACTGAGATAATTAAATCTAGACTGAAAGACAAAGGCACCAGCTTAAACCTACAAAGTGAAACCCTGATTGCAACCAAAGAACTTACAATCCAAAAAACAACAGAAGTGGAAGAAATTAATACCAAGACAGAGGACTTTAAAGATCAACAAGTACAATGTACTGAAAATTTAGACAATCAAACCCTGAATGCAACTAAAGCAGGGCTTTTCAACCTTTTCATCCATTGTACGACTTTTAGGATATGGCAACATCCAAGTACCACCAGTCACCGAGCAAGGTATCAAAAACTTGATGACCCAAAAAAAAAAAAAAAAAAAGGAAAAAAGTGATAAAGTACAGGTAGTCCTCGACTTACAACAGTTTGCTTAGTGACTGTTCGAAGTTACAATGGCACTGAAAAAAGTGCCCCCCAAGTCACAGCTGAGTAAGACACCTGCCTGCCCGCCCGGTGGCGCTCTTCCTCCTGTCCGAGGTTTTCATTGTTGTGAGCATTTCTGTGGAGGATTGGCAGCAGGAGTGGGGTGGGGGGTGTTTGGTTTTTATTCCCCCCGTCTGCTGGGTGGTTGCAGCAGATTTTGGTCACTTCACATGACCCTGGGACACTGTGACCGTCATAAATATGAATCAGTTGCCAAGCATCTGAATGTAAATCACAAGACCCTGGAGATGCTGCAACATTCCAGCTGATTGGTGCTTCTTCAGGGCTCAGCAGAAGCGCCAGGATCAGCGCCGAGCTCCAGCTGGAGCCTGATGCTGATCCTGGCGCTTCCACTGAGCCCTGACAGCCTCGAAGAAGCGCCGATCAGCTGGAAAACGGCGCTGATCCTGGCGCTTCCGCTGAGCCCTGACAGCCCTGCAGCTCCAGCCATTTCTCGCTCAGGCTTGTGCGGTGCTGCCACCGGTTCAGCAACCTAGAACTAAGGAGAAACTTCCTGACAGTTAATTAATCAGTGGAACAACCTGCCTCCAGAAGCGGTGAATGTTCCAACACTGGAAGTCTTTAAGAAGAGATTGGACAGCCATTTGTCTGAAATAGTATAGGGTCCCTTCCAAGGTCCCTTCCAACTACTACTACTACTACTACTACTACTACTACTACTACTACTACTACTGTTGTTGTTGTTATCTGGGTCATCAAATAATGATTTTTATGGATTAATTTCATCTTAAGATCAAAGATATTTGAAATCCTTTAGATCACAAAAATACTGATAGATGAAATAAAATATTCCAATTTTTTATATAAAAATTCTTGTTAATTATTAATATTAATTTTACACTTCCTCTTCAGTTCTTTATATTAACTGAGTTTCAGATTGAGATTCCAGTGAAATCTTGTCAAGTGTATGAAGTACACTTGAAGTAGTCAAGTGTAGTCAAGTGTATGAAGAGTTTCAGAGCCTGCCAATATGTCAGATCCACATTGAGAAATCAATCAACCATTTTAAGTGGAATGGATCTGAGGACTTTTTGGCAGCCTAAATTTTCTTTGCAATTATTCAAAACCTTTAAAAATTCTCCATATCTGATTTTTTTTTCTTTTTCTGTCCAGGTATTCCCAACCCCCCCCCCCTGCCTTTTTAAAATTAGAATTATCCAAAATAGTGAAATTTGTTTTGAGAACTGGGATCAAGCTACCACCTTCATCCCAGAATTTTCTCTGTAGGTCTTTGAAGCAAGTAAAAGAACTGAATGTTGGCTAAAATTAGAACCAAGTATTTCAAAGCAGTTAAATAATTGCATTGTTGAAATCCTGTTGCTCTTTGCTAATAAGCATTGGGGTATAATAATCATCCAGAGCCCTCCAATTTCTCATGGGAAGTCATCAATAAAAACTCATTAAGGGTGCTATCATACCATATTTTGATTTGCATTTATAAAAAGGATCTTTTGTTTCTATTTAATAGAACTTTTTGTGACACATGCAAATCCACAATAACTCTTTAGAATGAGGCACGTAATGAGATAGGATATTTGTGTCTGATGCTTCCCTTCGTTACAATTAAATGTGTGGCAAAATGAATGATATCGGGTGATGTTGACTACTCTAATGTATTGGGCAATCCCTTAAAATAACTGGCCAAGCCATGATGTGGTTTATTTGTTTTGATTTAGCATTACATGAAATCGGCTTTCATAGGTTTGTATCACTTCATGAGTTAACTAGCCACAGAGCCAGATATAACAAATGCTGGATGTTAAAACTTTTGTTAATATGTGAATGCAGCCTGTATGCAGGCAATCCATACTATCTACCACTTGTGTGTACTTGTATCTGAATGAGGTATCAGTACACATTAAACTGAAGCACAGATTGGTTTATGGACAGTGGTGGACCCTAAAGAGGGGAGGAGCTATAACCCATTCTTACAGATTTATGCAAATTTAAATATATATGAGATTGGATACAGTAGCAAATTTGGGGGGGGATATAAACAGCAGTAATATATGATTTGTCTATTGAGGTTTGTGAGCCAATTAGGATATCTCTATGATAATGAGGCAGAACTAGATGGATAATGAGGTTATGCAAGAACAAAGGGGCATTCCATAAACAAAGTTTCTTTTTAGGGACTTGCTTTCTTTGGGTTTCCAAGAGCTCATCTCCTGCAGTCTTCTTCCAGCTTATCATTCTTCAGTCCTCTTCAATGTTTTATGGCCAAGCTGACATTTTTAGCTTTCCCTAGAAAGTATGTTTGGGTTACAGGCTTTTAGCTTGATCCCCAAAATTGATAGGATTAATCATCAACCCAGGTCTCCAACAATTATCTTTTTCAAAGAGCAGTACCACCATGGCATGAACAGAAGGAGTCCATGTAAATTAATTCTTCCCTTCCTCTATACTGTCTTTTTAAGTTTGCAGAAAATATGCTATGCCAGTAGGTTGCTTGTTAATATTTCTGTTTACAGTAATTTCTTCCTATCAGTATCTTATTTTTATTTAGTAGTGGGGCTTGGTTTTTAATCTGAAGTTTCATGATAGCCAAAGAAACACCTTTAAATAGAACATGTAGCTTGAAGGTTAAAATATATCTATGCAACATCCACAGAGTGTTTAGACTCTGTGTTTTGTTTATCCTGATGTTAAAACTAATTATTGTTGTCTGGCCTTCTCAGTGAACATGGAAAAATGCTTTCCATTCAAATTCCTAGAGAAATAGATATGGAAAAAAGATATTTATGAACTTAGTTGCGTATATTGATGTCTTAATATTTTCTACAGGAAAGAGGGCCTAGCTATAACAAATGTAACATGATTTATTAAAGGAGTTCAATTATTTATATTCAGGCTATGAAACTATCTACTTAAAATAAACATATGGATTTTTGGTAAATATGAAAGATTGTACCAGTTTCTTTGCAGGGATAGAGAGTACTTCTTTGATGCAGCTTGAAGGATCCTAAGACAGGTTTTCAAGTCATATTTCAGAAATATAAGGTTTGTTGTACTTTGCAACAGATGGTTCAATTGGATATTCAAGCTTGAGAT